ATAGTGGATGCTTGAACAACACGTTTTCAGCTGTGTGGGTCCACTTATATGTGGATTTTTTTCAATAAATACCGGTACTGTTTTTGATCTGTGTTTGGGATTCCACAGATGTTAAAGGCAAACCGTATTCATTGATCTATACCATATTACATAGAGATTAGAGCATCCACTGATTTTGGTATCTATGGAGATTCTGGAACCAGTCCCCCACAGATACCGAGGGACAACTGGTGTAGTTAAGTTTTCGGGGAAGTCAGAAGTTATATTTGGAGTTTTGACTGTGAGGAGTGTCGATGCCCCTGACGTCCATGTGGTTCATGGGTCAACCATAAAATGTGTTTCATAGACAGACAGACTTACTTCCAACTTTTTGTCTCCACCACTTATAAAGCTATGTGTCCGCAACACTTTTAGCTTTAAAACTCTGGTAATTTCTTTGAATAAAACTGAAATTAGAAATTCTAGGAAATAATTTGCAGTGGCTTTTTGTTGTTCTCATGATATAAGTACAATTCTTTTCTGCACACAAATATTTACTCATTTTAATTTTCAAAATATTTTACCTGGAGATGTATTCCACAGTTATGTCAGCTTATAAAGTTCAGTTTTGACTTCAAATAGGTAATCTACTTATTGAGTTAGAAATAAGTGCTAGAAATCATTTATTGCTTCAATGGAATGATTGGATTATTCTTCAACTTCTCTCTAAATAGTTTAGGATTATCATATACCTTTCTTCCCATTTTGTTTCTGCATATAATGTTTCCAGATAATTTTCTCTATTGAAAGCAGTTGACATTCCTGTTTGTTCTGTTTTTAATCTTAAATCCTGACATTTTTGTTTATGGGATTTTGACTTCATCTTGTGCTTAATTAGCACTAACATAGTTTAGTTTTGTCAGTTAGTTTTGTCTAAAATTAAACTATTTTTAATGGTTTAGGACATGGCTTTGGAAAAACCTAGGTCTTAAGTGCTATTACTTTCTGGGAAAGGAAATGTTTCTTAAAATTCACCTCAGTAGGGTTTTTCCTTCCCTTTTATTAGCAAAATAAAAAATAAATGAAAAAAAAAATAAGCTTATATGTAATTAATCTGTACCTGAATAAGTTTCATATTCCTTTTAATGGTAGGCTAATACAAAAATACTCTCATCATTTGTCTCTTTCTCAAAGTTGGACTGAAGTAGTGATGAACTGGGTGGTGCTCGATTAGATTTTGGCAGAAAGATTTAGACTGCTAAAGGGTAAAATGAAGTTTTTCAAAAAGTATTCGTTCATATTTCTCTTCTTTTGCACAATAGAAATCATCAGTCAATGAGTATAACAAGTACTTTTCTAGTTGTTTTCCCCAAAGCCTGAAATCTGGATAGTAAGGAATAAAATCTATTTTTGCATTCTGTCTTAACTTTTCACGTCACCCAAGTCTTCCAATGCTTGTTTGTCTCATCTGTAAAATGAGAATAAAACTTCCTTCCACCCTATATGAGAGAATATAACTATAAATTGCCACATAGCTGTAATGTGGTTGTATAAATACTTTTCAATTAGTTGTTAAATTTTTGGAGGAAAAGATCTGGTTAGGGCATAGTTCTGGAACTTATTTCACATTTTCCTCAACATTTAGGGCATAGTTCTGGAACTTATTTCACATTTTCCTCAACTGTAGCACCTTGTCATTGAGTATCTATTTAAGATACGGTGGCTAAATTAATGAAGAATATAGCATCTTGAAAATATCTTGACTGTGTGTCATTGGCTTTTCTCAGTTTATGGCTTAAATAATACAAAGTGATTTAGAATTTTAGAAATTAATAGACAAAGCATTTTTAGCTCACATGTCAATGATATCTAAAGTAGTGTATCATTTTAAAAACTTCATATTATGGAAATCTTTAAACATTTATAAAAGTAGATAATAGGATAATGAGACCCAATGTATTCATCACTAAGTTTCAACAATTATCAACATGTGGCTAGTTTTTAGTTATACTTTCATCTCTACCTCCACACTGAATTTTTAAAAGCATTTCCAGATATCGTATTTTATCCATAAATACTTCAAAGGTCTTTGTCTTTTAGAGATACATATTTAAGAGAATCTAAACACAATGCCAGTATCACACCTAAGAAAATTCCTTAATGTGAGAAAATATCCAGCCAATATTCAGACTTCCCAAATTGTCTCATAAATGTTATTTTATAGTTAGTTGGTTTGTTTCAGTCAGACCAACGAAGGACCACACATTGCATTTGATTTTTGTTGATATGTCCTTGAAGTCTCTTTTAATGTATAGGCTTTCCTTTGTCTCTTTTTATCTCTCTTTTTTGTTGAACTTAGATCATTTGTCATGTAGGATTTTCCACATTTTGGATTTTGCTGACTGCATCCCTGTGGTGTTAATCAATTCTATCTCACTGATTTCCTATAAACTAGTAGTTATATCTAGAAACTTGGTCAGCTTCAGATTTGATTTTTGGCAAGAACACTTCATAGATGGTGCAGTGAATCAGGAAACATGTCTTGTCTGGTTGGTTCTTTTTTGCAACCTTAAGATTGATTAGCAATTTCATGTATTGTCATCTGGTCTCTCCACTGCAAAGGTGTCCATCAGCCTTTTATCTAATGGTTGTAGTAGCCATTGATGATCATTGCCTACCAGTGATGTACATGGCTATCAAAGAATGGAATTCTAAAAATGTCACTAATGTATATAGTATTAACTCTATTTAATTAGTAAATCCAGAAGTGAAAAGTAATGATGTTGGCTCATAGCAATTAACTACTTTATTAGCACCATCTATTTTTTTTATAGATTATTTAAGTTACGCTTTTTATAAACCATGATTGTCCTTTTTTTTTCCCCCCATGAGGTTCCTTTTAATAAATTAGCAAGGAAAATCAGAATTTTTGTGTGCATGAAATAAACGTTTTATGCTTTTTTTTGTTGCAGAAATCACTTCTCAAGAAGTTCAGTTGCTGCAGGTGGGCAAAAGGGAAAATCCTACTATACAATTACATTCACTGTCAATTTTCCACATAAAGATGATGTTTGCTACTTTGCTTATCACTATCCATATACGTATTCAACTTTACAGGTGAGAACTCATTAAGTTGTATTATGACCATTATTGTTTTATATGCTTATGTGTCAGATAATTGAAGAAAAATTGCTTTAACTAAAAATTAAAATAAGTGTCAAAGGTTTTAGATAATAATATATCTGTTGAAAACATTAAAGGGTGTTAAATGAGAATGTAGCCTTTATTTAAAATAAGATTTTTACCCATCTTTGGGTAAACTTAGAGAATCTTAGTTCTCTAAGATTCTACAATTTATAGATTTTAACTAGGTGAGTTTTCTACTTGTTTGATGAGAAGCATCGAATCTCATAGAAAAATGTGGATGCAATTTAAGTTTTTCCGTAGGGAATTCATTTCTTCTAGTAGTTTTATATGGACTCCTAGATCCAGATTGCTTAGAGTTGTGGGTATAAGAGTTGTTTTGTGGATTCTTTGAGATATTTGATTATTTGCCCTGTAACCCAAAACAAATGAATTCAAGTTATTATTGTGGTAGATTTATTCTCACAACAGAATATCTGTCCTAATGATTAAGGATCATGAAGATAGGATCAATTTACCCAGGGAGAAATTGGAGTGCCATGATTATAACCAAGCTTCCAAATTAGTAGAGAGGGGAAAATGGGAGAAACACGTAGTCCATAGAGCAGAAGAGATATCAAAGCTGGGAATACTAAATGAGAGTCACTTTATTTTAATAAAAGTTACAACCTACAATAAAGCTATAATCAGGTATCTTTCGGTGCTGAATAACATAGTATCAGAATATATAGTGTTTTTTACATGACGTTACATGTTATTGTTCTTTTCTGATGTTTTTACCTTTTTAATATATTTTGAATTCCCCTACTTTCTTCCAATCCCACTACCTTTTCCAGGCATTGCCGTTGTTTCTCACCTGGACTTCTGCCAATCTTTTTCTAACCGGTGTTCTAGAATTCCCTTTTGTCTCCTTTCCTCTTCATCAGTCTTTTTTCCACACGGTAGCAAGCGGGCTCTTTGATGGCAAATCTTATCATACAAATCCCCCATTAAAACTCCTTAGTGAATTTTCTAGCCATTTGTACAAAATCTAAAAGTCTTACTGTAGTTCATTCAGTCATTTCTCTACTATCTTCCACAATTTTTGCCAGAGCCACATACTGTGCGAACTATTATTTAGTTAGTATTTGTCTTTAAATAGATTTTAAAATAATTCACTCTTTAAAGTTTATCCTCACCCTAAGTTAATATTCAGGGAATTACAGGTTTAATGTGTAGATTTTTTTTCTAGTTCACAGTAAAATACATAGCTATTAAAAATTTTTTTAAAGATTATCCACATATCACTTAATTATCTCAATTACCAGTAGTACATATACTATGCTTTGGGAAAGATGGGTTTACCAGGCCCTCTGTCTGTGTTAAATTCTATATTTCTTACTCTTTCTTTCTGATTTAGCTATAATGAATCTTTTTCAGTTCTTTGAAATGCCCTTCTTCTTTCTTCCTCTTCCTATATACTATCTTCTGCCTACAGCACTCTCTCCATTCATCCTTTAGATCTCAATTTAAATGTAATTTTTTTCTAGAAGACCTTTCCTCACTGCCCAGATTTGGCTGGGCTCTCTTACCCTTATTTCAAGCCATTCTAGCACTCTGTCCTTTCCCTAACGTAGAGACCATTTATTCATTGTTATATCCCCAATGCCTGGCACAGTTTCTGGCACAGAAATGATGACTACACAATAAATAGTAATGATGTGAGTAAACATATGCAAAAGTTTGGAAGCCAACTAAGTATCTTAAAATAAGGGGTTGAACAATTTATTTTTGGTATAACCATATACTAAAACCATTGAGACTTGTGTTTTCAAAAGACACATATATTTAACATATTTAATGATATAGTATGGTATTCATAATTATGAATATGGGTGTATATGTATAAATTATTAAGTGATAAAAGCAGGTTATAAAAAGGCTTATATGTAATTACAGTTTTATTTCTATACATTGGCATTTGTTAGTAGCGATCTAAGTGATGCAGTTACGGTGTTTTAAATTTTTTCTTTATACTTTCTGTGTTTCCAGACACTTCACAGAGAACCTTTATTAATCTTGACATCAGTGAAAGTTGTTAAAAAAATTTGTCCTACATAATTTTATTCTGCATATTTTATATTGCTCTCGAAGGTCTATAGTCACTTATAGTTTCAAAATTCAGAAGGCTTTGGAAACCAAAAGCTTTTTTATAACCCATTTGGCAGTAAAGCCTGGCCTAAATTGATGTTAGCTTATTTAGAATATTGATTCTACTTAGAGGGACTCTTTTATGTTTTGCTGCAGAAATAATAATGTGCTTATACAGGCTGCTGCCGCTGACTTAGCTGGTGGTATTGTACATTTAATGATATATGCACTCTATCTGTCCCCTTTCTCGAATTCCCCAGATACTGACATTGGAACTATTTCGGGCCCCCAGAGGGTCCTGGAGAAGGGATTAGGAATCTGATTCACTTTTAGTTTTGTAGAGATCTAGATGCATTTACTTCTTTTTATCATAGGGAGTTTTTAAATGATTGTATACTTTGCTTTTAAATTTTTGTCAAGATGCATCTTCAAAAATTGGAATCAGCACACAATCCTCAGCAAATCTATTTTCGAAAAGATGTGTTATGTGAAACCCTGTCTGGAAACAGCTGTCCCTTGGTGACTATAACAGCAATGCCAGAGTCTAATTATTATGAACATATCTGTCAATTCAGTAAGTCTGTCTTCTTCACTCAAAATACCAACCATTCTTACTTATTTTTCTTTGCTTCATATATATTTTGTAAGGGCGATAATACTAGGAATAGGCATTAGAAGTCCTGGTCCTTTTCTGTCTAGCCCTGGGCCTACTGGGTCTCAGTTTCCTCATCCTGAAAATGAGTGAGCTGCATGAGATGTTCTCTAAGGTCTGTTTTGATACTTATATTCTGTAGTTCTTATCCTTGAAAGTCGTACCCAAAGTATAATATAACAAATTATTTTAAGAGTTCATGTATAATACCATCAATTAAAAAATTTATAGCTAATTTTATTATAAATAAAACCACCAGAAACCTATTAAATATTTTGATACTAGCACCAAATAGCTACTTGTTTTCTCCTGCCATTTATTTTTTAAAAGTTGCCTCAAATGGTACAGCTGTGGTACTTTACCTTATCTGATTTTGATAAGGTAAAGTATTTATTTTCAGGAAAGAAAAAGAGCTTGCTATGCAAGAAAATATGAGCAGGTGGGCTGAGTGTTATTTTGTAGATGTATACATTGAAATGTATAGTGAAGGTAACTTTTCTTGAGAAGTAACTCTCTTGAGAAAATATACCTTTTTTCTGTGTTTGTCATAGTGACTCTAAAATAGGGATAAGATTATTTTTTTCCTCCTTTTCCCTATGACTTTATGAAAAATAAATTTATATTTAAAACTTCCTCAAGTACTTGTTCTTTATAAAACCAAGATTATATTAAAGAACTAATTTTATATGTTAATCATTGGAAAATAACTAACTTCAAATGCTATTAATTGTCTTATGTTCGTATTATAAACTCCTTTAGGACATGACATATATCAGTTTCATATCTGTTTCCTCTAAGTGCCTAGTATAGTGCTTGTATATAGTAGGTGCACAGTGAGTTCTACAGTGAACTTAAAGATTTCACACTTGAGTAGCAATATTTCTAAAGCCCCAAAGTCAAACATCATACAGACTTTTAATTTGAGATTTTATATGTACTTTAGGAAATCGCCCTTACGTTTTCTTGTCTGCTCGGGTGCATCCTGGAGAAACTAATGCAAGTTGGGTAATGAAAGGAACGTTGGAGTATCTCATGAGTAATAACCCTACTGCTCAGAGCTTACGAGAATGCTATATTTTTAAAATTGTCCCTATGCTAAATCCTGATGGTGTCATCAATGGAAAGTAAGTGAAGCAATAGTATAGAAATATTATAGATTATTGTGGTGGTCCTATGTAAACTTGTTGAACAAATATCATCCAGGTTAATTTGGAAAACAAATCTAATGATTTTTCTACAATAGAAATTTTGTGGGGAATTCATCTAAGATATTTATTTTTAAAGGAAAATATATTCTGTATATTTCTAATAGTATGATAGTTTGAGAAATTCTGTATTTATTCATGAGAATATGATTACGTAAACTGTATTGTGAATTGTTTTTGAAAAATCACAGTGTCAGGTTATGAGATTTTTAAAAACAGATCCTCTTATATTCTTTTCTTTTTAAATTTGTCAGTGGCGTGATCTTAGTTTGTAAAATTTATCATCTTCTGGGCTCTCTTTCCACTGATATGGAGTATTGGCTCTATCTGCTAACTTGTTGCTGATATGAGGACATGTAGGAATTCTTTAAACTGGAGATACTAGAAGATAACTACTTTTTAAGTGGAGGTGGCTTATTAGTACAGGTCATTTACTGTGGCCATTAGACAAGGTCTCTTTAGTGCTTCTTAAAGGTGGGATTTGACATCAGTAAATGAAATACCATATTTTATTTATTCAATAAAAATAGCATGACTTTCTCATATTTAGGAAATTTTTGATTAAAAAATAATTTAGATATGTTATGGTTATGGAACTACAATGAGATTTTATTATTTCTAGTTTTAATTCAGAAACATATTGCCTAGTTAAAATCCTGTTTATATTTCTGTATCACCTTCTAAATGTTTGCTTAAATTTTTGCTCAATGGCATTAATATTTAATACCTATGATTAAATGAAAAGGTATTTGAATTTTTACAAGAATGTATACTTTTCATATACTTATGTTTCTTAGGAGGGCCCAAATGGCACTTTTCATAATAACTAATACAATCGAAATACAGAATGTTAGTATCATAAATGATTATTATGTAGTCAGAATGGAAAATATGACCATTAATAAATTTTATAAAGTATTAATTTTTTTTATAGCTTGAAAGATTTGACTGTTAAATCTGAAAGTTTACCACAGTTAAATGCATGTAACACAAGATCTTGGATGTAGCAAATGCTTAATAAATGATTATTTAATGGCTAAAATATGCATTTTGTTGAGCCTACCATTTATACCTGTTTGAAATATTTAGTGGAGTAGAATCATAAAATTAAATGTATGTAAGAATTTTTTGGTACCAGTGTTTGTCTGTCATTGTGTTTGCATATGTGTAGTCACCGCTGTTCTTTAAGTGGAGAGGATTTGAATAGACAGTGGCAAAGTCCAAATCCAGATTTACATCCTACAATTTACCATGCTAAGGGGCTGCTACAGTACCTGGCTGCAGTGAAGCGTTTACCACTGGTAAGTGGCAGGTTTTTTTGTACTTGTATAAAGACATGATTTTGTTGATTAATGACTTAGTATTTTATGCTTTATTTTCTGGTTATAAAAGCTATTATTTTCAGAAGCAGTTATTTTATTTCATTTTATTTAGGCGAGGCAACCCTTGGTTGACCTCACAGATTGCAAGGACCTTGTCAGCTTACAATCCTTTATTTTTTATTTTTTACACCTACAGCACGTGGTCTTCCTAGCTGGTCTCCCATCCAAATACTAACCAGGCCCGACCCTGCTTAGCTTCCCAGATCAGACGGAATCGGGCTTGTTCAGGGTGGCATGGCCGTAGACCAGAAGCAATTTTTTAAAAAATTTATTTTATTAAGTTATAATAATGTACTTTATATAGTACATTGGTTAGACATTTATATAGTTTATAAAACAATCCCCTTAAATACTCTTTCTTTCCTCTGGCTTTCCACTTAGCCTTTACATTAATGCTAACTGCATTCTCTATGCCATGCTCCCCATCCTTGTGACCATCTATCAACTGTTAATTTGTACTTTAACCCTTCACCCCATTTTCTCAGCTCCCCTACCCGCTGCCCTCTGGCTGTCACCAGATTGTCCTCTATATTTGTGAGTCTGTTTTTGATTAGTTTGTTCTTTTTGTTCTTTAGATTCTGCATATAAGTGAAATCATACGGTATTATCTTTCTCTGATTGACTTATTTCACTCAGTATAACCACCTTTAGGTCCATCCATGTCATTGCATATGGTAGGATTTCACTTTTTTAATGGCTGAGTAATATTCCATTGTATATATGAACCATAACTTCTTTATCCAATTGTCTGTTGATGAGCATTTAGGTTGCTTCCATATCTTGGCTATTATAAATTGTGCTACCATGAACATAGGGATGCATAGATCTTTACAGATGATTGTTTTGGTTTTCTTTGGATAAATACCCAGAAGTGCATTTGCTGGGTCAAAAAGTATATCCATTTTTAATTTTTTGAGAAACTTCCAGACTGTTTTCCATAGCAGCTGTAACAATTTGCAATCCCACTAACAATGTATGAGGGTTCCCTTTTCTCTGCATCCTCACCAACACTTGTTGTTCTTTGATTTATTCAAAATAGCCGTTCTGATAGGTGTCAGGCGATATCTCATTGTGGTTTTAATTTGCATTTCTTTGATGGTGATATTGAGCATCTTTTTATATGTCTATTGGCCATCTGTATTTCCTCTTTGGAGAAATATCTGTTCAGATTTTCTGCTCATTTTTTAATTGGATTGTTTGCTTTTTTGTTGTTGAGTTGTATGAGGTTTTTTTAATGTATTTTGGATATTAACCTCTTATCACATCTGTCTTTTTCTGTTATCAATCATTTGTTTATTAATATGGTGTCAAATTCATATAATGTACTTATATTCTTATTTCATCAGGTTAATTTTTATAATTCTCATGAGCCCTTTTCTTTTTTGTTTATGAATATTGGTAACTCTGGTTGTAAGTTTAAGCATTAAACTTCACCGAACAACACTAAGGTTTTAGTATCTTCCAAGTTCTCAAACTAATAGAAGCTTATTTCTGAGCTCTTTAGTCAACTCTGAAACTGCTGAGTCTCGCACACACATGGGCAAGGCAGTATGGTGGGAGACTTTACTCAACTGTATATGTATGCGTCTGTTTTCAGCAGCTTTTGTTTAGAATGTTACCATATTAGTGTTAAAATGAGTTAATCTTCTTTTGAGAAAGAGAGAAATACTTTGCAGAGGGGCAAAATTGACATGAGAGTATCCTTCATTTTTTGTTTTTAAAATGATGCTCTTAAAAGTTAAATTGAAACCATACCTTTTTTAGTAGTGTTTTAGGCGAGAGCATTTTCATGTTCTTTTTAATTGGCTGAATATCTTAATAACCCTTTGGGCAGTGATGACTACAGTTGTAGATTTGAGCCTATAATTGAATTTGTTATTTTTTAAAATGGTGATTAGTAGATAACAAAAGAAACAGTGGAACTCATGGCTTGATGCAGGACTTGCATAGGACTTTGTAGTCATTCTAGAATTAATCATAGATTTCTTTCCAAAAGTAGATATTACAGCTTTTATTGATGCTACTTATTAAATGATGGCTCAGTTACAATAAAAGGATCAAGAAACACAATACCTGTTTATTGGTCTGCTATTAACTAGATTTACTTGGTAATATATGAATTTGAAGTTTTTTAATTCTTTAAAATATGGTCTTTTCAAGGTTTATTGTGATTATCACGGCCACTCCCGAAAGAAGAATGTATTTATGTATGGCTGCAGCATTAAAGAGACAGTGTGGCATACCAGTGATAATGCAACTTCATGTGATGTTGTGGAAGATGTGGGATACAGGGTAATTATTACAGATAAGTCAGGAGTTTTTGAATTTCAAACATGCATAAAGCTGCAGAAAATAATTTAACATAGGAACTACTCAGATTTAGTAAATGTTGCAATTTTGCCATTTTTGTTTCAGATTTTTCATTTTAAATGTTTCTTTTTTTGCTTTTCATGTTTAAATATTTAACCATTTGGAATTTATTTTATATGAGAGATGGAGATCTAATTTTAGTTTTCCCATGTATAACTGTTTGTTAAATGGTACATCCTTCCTCTGCTGATTTTATAAAGCCATCTGTTCCACATGTATAGATAGGTGTGTTTAGAGGTATGCCTAGGATTGAAATGAGATCTTATTGCTTGAAATCCTGTATGCTTTCCATTCTGTCCTAGAGCCTCTCCTACTATATTTATGCCTAAACGAGTACCCTAAACTTTTCCCAAAAAAGTTTCAGTAACATGCCACACTGCCCTTGGCAGAATTTCAAAGGATAATTTCTTTTTGGTGTCCTCTCTCTTCTTACCCTTTTCCAAATAAATAAAAATGGAAACACTCCAGAAATACAAAGTAATAAGTGAAAGTCATTCTCTCTCAATCACTAAATTATTAGTTTTACCATGTATATTGTGAGACTTGTCTCTAAGCACATTCATTTATAAATAGATATACATATAGTATGTGAAGTTTTTATTTTTTTTTAATGCTCTACAGTAACTTGTTTTTTTCACATAATGTTTGTTGGCCATCTTTCCTGGTCCTCATATCTAGATCTGTCTGGTCTTTTTGACAATTACACAAGATTTCTAGAATGCATTTTTGTAATTATTGTTTGGATGTAACAAAATTTATTTATTCAGTCATCACCTCTTGGCGGTCATTTGATTAGTATTGTGAAATTGTCCTTCATAAAATTTGTACAGGTTGATATTCTAGTGCGGTTTCTCCATACCCTTATTATATCATACTGTCATTTTTCTTGAATAAAAAAAAATCTGATGGTTTTAATTTGTATATCTATGATTATAAATGATGTCGAGTATCTTTTCATATGTTTGACCAATTACGATCTCTCTCTTTTTTTAAAGTAGCCTTTTCTCACATTCTCTGCTTACTTTTGTGCTGGTCATCTAGTTATTATTGTTTTAAAATAAGAATTCTTTATGTGTATTACAAATATATTAAAAGTTTTTATTTGTTTATGATATTTAGTATTTTAAGACCATTATATTTGTTGATATCGTAAAAAATGACTTCAGAATTTTGAAGCTTAGAAAGACTTCTCATTCCAAGATTTAGAAGTGTAGTTGTGTGTTTACTGTTTTAAGTTTCATTTTAAAACTTATTAATTTTAAGTTTAAATTCTCAATTTAGTTAGAATTTAATTTAATGAAGAGTGACTGTAGGTTGTTTTTCTTAATAGCTATCCAGTTGTGTTGGCATTTAGAGAATGATCAATCATTTCTCTAGTACTACTAACTTTAATAGATACCTCTGGTTCTAATTTTGAACTTTTTCTTTCTGGAGACATCTGTTCCTACACCAGTATCATAATTTAGCTTAAGCTTAGACATATAATGTAGGTCAATATCTGTTGGATTATTTCTCTAGTCATAGCTTTTTCTTTCAGAATTTCCCTGGGTGTATTCCCGTATTTATACTTTCAGGTAAATTCGAGAATAAGTTGCAGAAAAATGTTATGGGCATTTTGATTGTGATTGTCTTAGCTTTCATGATTAATTTAGGGATGATAGACATTTACAGTGTTAAATCTCTTAGTCAAACCATCTTTCATGACTAAAGTTTCTTCATTTTTTTAAACATGTTTTTCCTGCTTATTGGTGGCTATTATGATTGTGATACTTTCTTCTATTCTGTTTTCTAACAGATTACTGTTTGTCTAGGAAAGCAGAAAATTCTCAATTAGTAAGAGAATTATTTTTATTTGTTTAGAGGGGGTATAGCAAGAAGGTCTACATGACCGTGCTCTAATCTCTATGCTTTCATGAAAAATTTTAAAAATTTAATAATTAAAAAAAATTTAAATTGAAAAACTTTTTGAAATATTTTATCATTTTTCTCTTTGCAGACTTTGCCTAAGATACTGAGCCATATTGCTCCAGCATTTTGCATGAGCAGCTGTAGCTTCGTAGTGGAAAAATCTAAAGAATCAACAGCACGTGTTGTAGTTTGGAGGGAGATAGGAGTACAAAGGAGCTATACCATGGAGAGTACTTTGTGTGGCTGTGATCAGGGAAAATACAAGGTAAAACATCTCAGGACTTCAAATAAAAAATATTTGAAAACATTCCTTCAATATATACTCCAGGGTTTTCAAGTAGATATTAAATGATATGTTCGTTGTATTGAGTTATATATGATTGCAATAATGGAATTGAATCATATACAATCTTAAAAACATTTTTGAAAAATTTCCCTGAACTAAATAGCTTTCTCTGGATTCTCATGAAAGCTTGTTTGAGTCTATTTATATTCATAATTTTTAAGAAAACACTTCGTGGTACATATTTAAATACTGATTATTAGTTTATAATTAGTTGTGCAAGTAATGCATTATTAATAAAAATTTGCTATATTTTAATTTATTGGATGTAAGTATATTTTTATGAATTTAGAAATAAACACATTATACTTATTTATAAAGTTTTTATATTTAGATTTCTTTTGTGTGTGACTTTTAAAAGTCTTAGTCCTTTACACTAAGACTGCTCTTCTGTGGTGCCATAGGCTGTTATTGGAAACAACCAGACTTGAAACTTTACTTTTAAAATTAAAGACAAATAAAATGTTCAATGACTTTGAATTTTTTAATTTTAAAGATTGAGAACTTCATCGGCAATGAATTGGACTTTAGATCAGCAACAGCAAACCCAAATATTTATCTTAACTGCCTGGCCAAAGAAAGATTTTCAGGTGTCATGCTCATTATGCCACTCATTCTGTTTTGTTTTGTTTTGGCCTGGGGCAAGAGGAAACTGAATCTAATAGTGATTTACATATACCTCACATAAAGATGGTTATAACTTTATGTTTGGAAAGAGTTAGAAATCTTCCCATTGGTTGTATTAAAAATGTAAACGTAGTTGCCGTCAAAATGATTAAGTGTAGTGTCTGAATAATGACTTTCAGCCTGAAACAAACTGGAAGAGAATTGTATAGATTTTGCAACTGACATTCAAACTTTTGGGGCTTAGATGAGTAGATCTTAATGAATTTCTAGTACTTTCTGATGGATAACTCTTACCTAAATTTTATGTTGACCACAGTATACTATTCTTCCAAAATGTGATATCTTTTTAATTCTCTCCAAATATTGTAAAACAATGACTTCTAGTCTACTAGGGCATGACGATAGTAAGAGATAAAATGTAGCACCATTCCAAGCCCCTAACCCTGTTCCCTGATCATTGATTTAGTGGACAACTTTGCCAAGAGTCAGTCATCTCTCCAAAACTCCTGTGGAGAGAAGTGTGTCTTACTAAGACAGGTTTTTTGTTTTTGTTTTTGTTTTTTTAATGTTTCTAAATCAATGCTTTGATCATAAAATATACTTCTTTTAGTTTTTTTTTCCTCTTTTTTGATTAATAAACTTTTGTTTTTAAGGCCAGTTTTAGATTCATGGAAAAATTGAGTGAAAGTAGGGAATTTCCATTTACCTCCATCCCCACATAATATATACACACATAAGATATACTTTTCAAAGTTATTAATATTAGGTAGTAAGTGATATGAATCTAATTATATTTTAAGAAACAAATCTCTTCACTCTTAAGAATATTCTTATATTACTATATTTTAGGCTATAAATGATATTTTTTTTTCTATGAACTGATTCAGAAATAGGCATAGCCTTTCTAAAGTTTTTAAATTAAGAAGGCAATTTGATGTTCTAATAAAGTCAGTTAAGTCACATTTCCTATAATATTTGGAAATGGCCAAAGTAAACAGTCAGCCATTTAATCAATCAATCAGTCATTATAAAGGCATGTACTGTATGTAGGTTAAGTAAGTTTTTACAATTTATTTTCTTCAGTTACCCAGTGCTGTTAATCTGGTCATTAAAAAGCTGTTTTGCAATACCTTCTCTCTGAATGATGTCAGCTGTCATCTATCCTTGCAACTTTTGTTGGTATAAGGATTTCACTTATTTTAGAGATTCATTTTTATCTGAAAATTAAATTATAAGCAATATCTTGATTTACAGTCCATTTTTATCCTTTTATGTGGTTATATTTAACTTTTGGTAAACCTTATATTGTTTATTGGAAAACCGTTGGTTAAAAAAGGAAATGAGGGTTGCGGTAAAATTTTCTCTTTGCTTTGGCAGACAGACTTTGAAATGGACATGGAACATAGGAATTTATTTCACTACTACCTCATTGGCTTATATTTGTTTGATTTTTTTGACATAGTTACCTTACTTTTGTTTATCATACAGTAAAAGCACCTATAAGGTAATGTTTAAGTATATAAATCAGACCCATGATTTTAACAGTATAATATTTCAAGATTGGCATCCAAAGTAGTGTATTGCAAGAAATATTAGAAAGATTTTATAAAAATATAATTTCACATGTGAACTTTAAGAGTAATGGAACTACAAAATGTTCATCTTTTTTTCCTTCCCAGAGTATTGGTGAAAATAGTTTGCATATAGTGAATAAAAATAGACATTTTAGAAATGTTTTTTTGTGTGTGTGACATCAAAATGTTTTTTTAAGACAGTTTCCTTTGTGACCTATGTAGTATTGTTATTATTGTAACATTGTTAAGTCCTGGGTCCATAAAAAGTACCAACCTTTTAATTTTACTAATACAGTTAAAATTTTCTTTTATGTAATTTTAATGAGATATAGTCAGAAGTTAGCAAACGTCCTAGTTACATGTATATTACTTTATTTCTAGGGTTTACAGATTGGTACTCGAGAATTGGAAGAGATGGGAGCAAAATTTTGTGTTGGTCTATTGCGTTTGAAAAGACTGACATCCCCATTGGAGTATAATATGCCTTCCAGCCTGCTTGACTTTGAAAATGACTTGATTGAATCAAGCTGCAAAGTAACTAGGTAAGACACTTGTTTTATTCTGCTGTTACCTTGTCCTGTACTGTTAGACTTTATTAAATTAGTTAAGCAGAGGAAAGACGCAATGATTTTGTCAGCCAAGAGCATTTTTAGGATTACTATAATTAAGTTTACACATTTAATATTTGTTCTAACTTGTGATAATTTTCTTGATTGTTTTAACATCAATATTTGGATGAAATTTTAAAGAAATATCCTTGTATTTTAAATGCCGTTTTTAGTGATGTTAATGGTTTATTTTTAACCCAAAAATAAGTACAGTGGAAAACTGTACTTATATTAGATAATATTTAAATTAAGAAGGCTTGCAGTTGAGATTCATACTTTAAATTTTATTTTGTTGCCGTCTGCACATACCAGATGACTTTCCAATAATTTTCTTGTTATATATATTAGAAATAGCTAATTTAGTATCTCTCTGAAAATTTATCTATATCTGCCAAATATTCTTCTAAATAGGTAAACTTTTATTCCTAAAATTCAGTGTATATAAAATTTAATCAGTTATAGGATCAGTGGTAATTCAGTATCACTGTTCTTAATCATAGTACCGGAGCTTATTAGCATTTTATAGTTTGATGTATATGGGTAAGAATACTCCATTCTATAGAACCCTCATCATTTTTATTGTTAGATATTGACTTGTCATCAGATTTAATGTATTGACATGCTCTATTATATATATCAATTCAGCAGTTTTAAATATAGTAAAACTTTAATTGTAACTGTTATTTAAAATATGATAATTGACACAATGATTACCTGAATTCTGTACTCTTGAAAGTACCTGCTAAACAATAATGGAAATAAATATAAAGATTGTTGTTTTCACCGATATGTAGAAGCCTCCCTTTAAGTTATTTCATGTATTCTTTTTTCCCCCGGCTTTATTGAGATATAATTCACAAATAAAATTGTAGCTGTGTAGAAGCCTCCCTTTAAGTTATTTCACGTATTCTTTTTTCCCCCAGCTTTATTGAGATATAATTCACAAATAAAATTGTAATATTTAAAGTGTACAGTGCGATGATTTTATATATATATACACACATTGTGAAATTTACTTCCCTTTTTGAGTTATTAATATATCCATCCTTAATTTCACATGATTATCATTCTGTATGTGTATGAGAATATTTAAGTTCTGCCCTCTTAGCAAATGTCAGTTACACTATCTAGTGTTATCAACTATAGCACCATGTTATACATCACTTCCTCAGACCTTATTCATCTTACAGCTGAAAATTTGTACCCTTTCATCAACCTCTCCCCATTTCTCCACCCCCAGCTCCTGGCAACTACTTCTTTTCTACTCTGTTTCTATGAGTTCCTTTTTTTTTTTTTTTTTTTAAGATTCTACATTTAGGTGACATTATGCTATATTTGTCTTTGTCTTGCTTATTTCATTTACCATAATGCCCTCCAGGTTCATTCATGTTGTAGCAAATGAAAGGACTTCTTTATTTTTTAAGGCTGAATAATATTTCTTCGTATACCTATGTACCACATTTTCTTTATCCATTCATGCATCAGTGGACATTTAGGTTCTTTTCATACTTGGGCTACTTTGACCACCATGGGAGTACAGATTTCTCTGAGGTAATGATTTTGTTTCCCTTCAGATATACACTCAGAAGTGGAATTTCTGGATCATATGGTAGTTCTGTTTCTAATTCCTTGAAGAACCTCCAGACTGTTTTTCATAGTGCCTGTACCAGTTTACATTTCCACCAACAGTGTACAAGAGTTTCCTTTACATTCTTACTATCATTTGTATATGTCTTTGGTATAAAAACCAGCCTAACACATGTGAAGTAATAGCTCATTATAATTTTGATTTGCATTTCCCTGATGATTAGTGATGTTGAACGCCTTTTCATTACCTGTTAAGCATTTGTGTGTCTTCTTTGGAAAAATGTCAATGTAGGTGTTTTTCCTATTTTTAAACTGGGTTATTTGTGTTTTTTTGCTTTCGAGTTGTGTGAGTTCCTTTTATGTTTTGGATATGCACACCCTTATATGTGGTTTACAAGTATTTTCTCCCATTCCATAGGTTGCCTTTTCATTTACTTGATAGTTTTCTTTGCTCGCAAACATTTTTTAGTTTGACGTAGTCCTACTAGTTTATTTTTGTTTTTGTTATCTTTGCTTTTGGTCTCAAATCCAAAAAAAAAAAAAAATCATTACCAAGATAAGTTTTTAAGGAGTTTACACCCTGTGTTTTCTTCTAGGAGTTTTATGATTTCAAGTCTCATATTCAAGTCTTTCATCCATTTTGGATTGATATTTGTGTGTAGTACAAGATAGGGGTCTAGTTTTATTCTTTTGAATGTGGCTATCCAGTTTTCCTGACACTATTTACTGAAGAGACTATTCTTTCTCAGGGTTTATTCTTAGAGCTCCTTTGTTTAAAATTAACCGTATATTCATGGGTTTATTTCTGGGTACTCTCTTCTGTCCATTGATCTCTGTATCTGTTTTAATGGCAGTGCTATGCTGTTTTGAATACTATAGTTTGAAATCAGGAAGTGTGATGCTTCCTACTTTGTTTTTCTTTCTCAAGATTGCTTTGGCTATTCAGGGGTTTTTGCTGTTTCATACAAATTTTGGGATTGTTTTTTTCTACTTCTGTGGAAGATGCTACTGGAATTTTGATTAGGGATTGCGTCACATCTGTAGATTGCTTTAGGTAGTATGGACATTTTAACAATATTCTTCTAAACCATGAGCATGGAATATCTTTCCATTTATTTGTGTCATTTTCAATTTCTTTCAATTTCCTGCAGTTTTTAGTATATAGATCTTCCACCTTAGTTAATTGGTTAATTTATTATTTTCTTTTTTTTTTTTGATGCCATAGTAAGTGGAATTTCTGTTTCTGATAGTTCATTGTTGATGTATAGAAATGCAACTTTTTTTGTGTGTGCTTATTGAGTTTGTATCCTGCAGCTTTTTTTGAAATTATTTATTCTGACATTTTTTGGTGGAGTTTTTACATATATTATCATGTCATCTGCAAATAAAGAAAATTTTACTTCTTCCTTTCTGATTTGGATGCCGTTTATTTCTTTTTCTTAGCAAATTGCTCTAGCTAGAATTACCAGTACTATGTTGAATAAGAGTGATGAGAGTGGATATCCTGGTCTTGTCTCTCTTTTTGGGGATAGAGTAAATAAGGGGAATGTGAGAGGTTCTGATCGTGGGCCAAAGATGAAACTAGCCAGCCTCAAAGTTTTAGGTGGGATTACTGGCATATACATATTGTTTATAAGTCTGTATTTTTACCCCCAGAGTGACATAGCTCTTATCCTCAGTTACTGTCATTTATAATTTTAATATCTTATTTAATATTGATTGCTTATTTATTTGGCTATTTTTTTATTGCTTCTTAGAAACTTTCAGGAATCACTGTAAATACTTGTGTTATTTGTGTTACTGGTAATGTGTATAGAAGGGAAGGTGTACATATTTCTCACCTTTCTCTCTTTTTCCTACCTTTTGATAATCATCCTTTAGTTTTACTATGCATTAGAGATCATTGATAACAATTTCCTTGGAAATAAAAGCCATAGCGAATGTAACATAGATCACTTGGGTTTTATTTGTTGAGGCAAAAAAGGGGAGTTGGGGTGTTCATAAACTTTCCTTTGAGCATTTCTTCTCCTTCTTCTTTGCTTTTTCTCCTCTTTCACTTTTCTTCTTACCCTACATGCTTTCTGTAGGTGATATTTATTCCAGTGACTTTAAATTATATGTGTGTTGACAATTTCAGAATACTTGTAATTTCCCAGACCTCTCTTCTGAGTTTTAGACCTGTATATTCAGCTTCCCACTTGATTATATATACTTGGACACAAAAGTAACTTGTCTAAAAACTCACCTTGTGATTTCTGTTCCCCAGACAAACCTATTCATCTGTATCCACCTCCATCCACCCAGTTGCTCATGTCAGAAATCTTATTCTTCACATTTCCCTCTCCATTTCTTACCCGTAATCCAATTCATCACCCAGGTCTTTCTGATTCCTCCTCTAAAACATTTCTCAGATATTTCCATTTCTCTCCACTACCTCTGCCCTTACACTAGTCCTGACCGCCATCATCTCTTACCTGCACTATTCCAATAGCCTTCTGACTGGTCTTTTTCCGTCTACTTTTTTATCCTCTGGCTTCTTGGTATGTCCTGCTTAAAAACCTTCAGTTGTTTCCCAGGTATATGGAGTATATCCATTATCAGAATCTCTGAGGTCCAGAATGAGCCATCCACACCTTCTTCTCCCCCTTCAGCTTGTCTTACTCTCACTTTGTATTCTTACCATTCCAACAGCACTGACCATCTTTAAATTTTTAAAACAGTTGCTTCTAAACTAGCTATAACAAAAGGCTAGTTTTTATTTTCCAGTTTGTTATGGATTGATACTTGGATAAAAATTAAGAAGAATGAACTACTATAAAAATGAAAGAGAAGCCCCCAAGGAATACAAATAAGCTCCAATTTTTAATTATGAGATTCACCAGACATATAATTTTTATATTAACTTGTTATAAAAGTTTTTGAACACTTCATTTTAATTCATATACTTTTGTCATCATGGACCAGTAACAGAGAATTTGTGGACCACATTGGTTTATCGACCACACCTTGAATAGTATATTCTCAAACATACAAATCTGTTTATTACCCCAGAGTCTTTGTATTTGCTTTTTCCTCTACCAAACGTCTGTGCCTCTGCTTCTTTAAGATTTTATCCTTGTACTCAACGCTATTCAGTTTCAGTGTGTTGTGTTTAGGAGTGGTATCTTTAAAATCATAAACCTTTCTTGACCCTTCTAATGCACTTTATAATTTGAGGACTTGTCTTCAATTTTGAAAATTTCTCAATCATTTCATCTTTGAAAATTGCTTCTTTATCATTTCTTTTATTCTGTTCTTCCAGAATTCCTATATGGGAGCTTCTCAATCTGTTCTCCATGCATATCTCT